ACGAGATGAATGCAACGATCGAACCGGTTTACATTATGTCTATGAGACCTTTCGTTCTTCTCCCTTACAAATTCTTTGACCCAGCGGAGTGCCTTGGAAGTTGTACTGTTGAACCGCGTTGTTCGCCAAATTCTGGCGGACGGGAATATCCTTTTCCTGAAGATTCATATGTTTCGTCATTTGGGGTTGCCGTGCTTGGCGTTCTTCCCATCATCAGACTTTGATAAATATTTCAAGACCTCGCCAGGTACAAAAGTTGCTGCGCAGTTGGGACAAGAGACGGACAGCGACAAAATATAACCTATGAAGCGTATCGTCTTTGAACCAACTCCGAAGTCGAAAAAATTTACTTGAGATGAAAAATGATGGCATGGCTGCCCGAGTGCGAGGAGAGATTACAAATGTTTACAGTTGAAAACCCTTTTAATTACCACCGAAATAAGAATGATTTTTTGACTGTTTGGAACCAGCAGCCCAGCCTGAAGGTTGAATCTGCCTGAATGAAACTGCAGAATGGTGGAGATCCTAGCAGCCGTCCTCGTGGGCAATCATTAAATTTTTTTTCTCTTATTTTTTTTTCCCTTTTATCATTACAGATCTAGCAACCTGAATATGCAGAATTTGATTGCAACCACACCTGTATACTATCGTAGGGGAGTTCTCCAATATTTTCGAATGTTAATCAATATACAAGGTATGTGCCTGTTTATTTTGTCTTTCGAGCTAACCATGTTAACTTTGATGACCGCCACCACCCAAAGTAAAAACGTAAAAATGTAACTGTAAACCTTTTATGTCTCTATATAAACGCAAGATTGATTTTACTTACTTTGTATTGTTTTTAATTTTAATTAATCTTTGACACTGGACCAATATACTTCTATTTAACTGTGTTACTGTTAACCTTCACAACGCAATTAATTACATATTGATCTGTTATAGTGATATGTGCTCACTTGAATTATTCTTACAAAATAGTTTACAGGTATTGAACATCTGTATGTCATCTATGTACCTTATCAATTAGTGACATACTTGCATTCTGCGTTATGCATATTATATTTTAGTGTAGTTGATTAGTGCATTTTACGGTCAGGTGAAATATGTTATACCATTCAATTGATAATACACCACAATCACAAAGCAACGTGTCTTTTTTTTTAAATTCCATGTTTCAGAATTTGTAAGCGATGATACTTATTTTTTGCACTTTTATATTTTTAGATGGATCTTGAAAATTCATTTGACCATAACAATATGCCTCTGGATGATATTATGGATTTTGGCTATTTCACATCATGACAGTTGTAAGCAACTTTTATTGATACTTCTATTTTGGCTTGTCTTGAATTGAATAAACTATTTGCACATGAGAGAAATTTGATAAACCGTATTAATGCTCAACTTTTGACAGGAAGAAACATTTGCTCTATGTGCAAGAAAGAATTTTCCCACAAGACTAATTTACAGTGAAACGAATAGCTTCCTCCGCTGCCATGCTACCTTTGAACGACCCCGCAGAACGTTCATAGACTATATTTTATCTCAAGGTCGGGATTCAGGAAGCACTTTTTTTTTTTTTTTTTTTTTTTTTTTTTTTTTTTTTTTACAGTCAATAAAATTTGAAGTCTCGGACAAGATTCGCATCCCAACATCTAGGTATTATATGGTATCTCAATGCAACTATTGAGAACTATTGAACTAAAGAACAATTGAATTCACATCAAATGTATTTTACGTACAATAATAATAGAAGAAAAATTAGTGTCACTCATCATGAAGTTTTTATTATATATGTGCTTAATTCTTGGAAGAAGTTTATAAGAAAAGGGTCATGATGGGTCACGACTTCGCCCAATACCTCAAACTCAAAGCTGCTGTATACAAACTCCTGTAAGTTCTTTTTACATAACTCTACCAAAAGCATAGGCAGCAAGAAGGCAGCTTTGAATAACGATGATCAGAAATGTCTCGTGTGAAGCGCCTTGGCTGCCTTTCATCTTACGAGATCTAATGTAAATAAAGTTTCACCATACAAGCCCGATGGAATAGAAATCCGTATAGTTGGCCTGTCGTTCCCCATCCCCATTCGCCAACTCAGCAAATTCGAAAAAATGAAAAAACAATCAATCAATGTCATTGGTTGGGAAAGCAACGAGATTTTACTTCTTCAAATGGCCAAGAGTCGAAGCGGTACATTATTACTTTTGCGTTTATTTTAACCAGTGTTTCAACATACATGCTTTTTCTCAAGTTTGATAATTTAACAACCTTCTATTAATTTCGTATGATCAAAAAAGACAAAACTACCTATTGAGAACATGTCAAAACTTCTCGCCGGGCTTACCAAATTTGAATCTGCGACATTTTATTGCGACTATTGCTTATTACGGTTCATGAAGAAATATTCTGGGGATGCTCTTTAAAACTGTAATGTTGCTGAAGCTGAATGTTCGAAAGGTTTAACAAATATTTTAAATAAACTAACAGCTGATTGTAAAATCGATTTCGGAGTATACTTAAAACACAATTTAAGTGCAAGGCATAAAGAAAATATTTGAAATTTTAGTGACTTGCAACCATAAACAAACGTAAAAAAATAATACTCTCTAAGTGTCTAAGATGATATGGATTAGGAATTTCTTATCAACAAAACCATTTATGAAATACGATAATATTAGCTACGTTTAATATCTGTTCTTCAAAATTTATTTGTAATGCAATAAAAATGTTAAAGTTTTAAATGAAGGTACTCTATAAGCGTTTCAAAGTAAATGTAAAAAAATTCAGGAAATATTCACGTATTTTGCTAATTCGGCTGTAATTTTGTTAAATTAGTGGTGTTTCCTGACTTGAGCATATATGAGATATGAAATGAAATCGGAAGCGAAATTTGTAAACATTTCACTCTGAACAAATAATTCTAGCTGTAAATAAATTTGACGGATGACAAACAAAATCGAATGGTAAATCCTAGATCATATGCAAAGTCAAAACGAGTTTTTATGTAAATATGAAGGTTAGAAAAGAAACTTAGAAGTAAAATCTAATGAAACGTATGTTTTATTTTCATTGTTTTAGATCGAGAAAGCTTCAGTTTTAAATTTTAGAGCAGAAATACTTACAACGCAATTAATTACATATTGATCTGTTATAGTGATATGTTTATACATATGTAGCCCAACATATGTTTCTTTTTCTGAATGAAATCTCGCGCTACTTTCAAAATCAGAAAAGTAAAAAAAAAAATATATATATATATTTTAAGTATTTTCTAAAGTAGAAAAGTTAAATTTACATTTTACTTAGACGAAAAATGTTCAGTAATGGTTGGGTATGACTAAAAGAAACACTTTAATTTTTCTTTTTTGAAGTGGTGACATCCTTAATTTTAGGGCGAAATATCTACATTTTTATTTTGTCTAAGGAAAACCCCATGTTAATTTAAAAATGGAAGGTGACAAAATAATTCCTAAATTATAACTCTCTTTTGAAAATGAATACGAAGCACCCATTTTACATAAATGAAAATACATGCAGTTGTGGATACATAAAAAATACAGTAAGCTTCATATAAACTAGAAGTTAAATATTGTAAGAAATATTTTTACATTAAGTGATTTAAAAAGGAAATCATTGAAGATTATCCATATGAATCAAATCTTAAGCTTGGTAAATAATTATCCAGTGCATGTTGATACGGACTTGCGTACATTCACAAGATTTGCACACATTCGTTTCAAACTCGCTTAATAAAGGTACTAAAAAGGTAGGTGCAGTACTTTAGATTAAATTTCATTGGAAAAATGGTGAGCTTACATGCTGTTTGTTGTGAAAGCTGGCTGAAATCTATACAAGATAGTAATATTGGATAAAATTTGTAATCTCTGCTGAAAAGATCTAAGAATAATGCGAATTTAAAAGCGTGTAGATTCTGTACAAATTAAAAGCATCACGAATTTAATGCATCTGGTTAAAAAGAAAGATTTCGAGTGTAATTATTATCAGTCCCTATGATAGAGAGGACACATGTTTGTAATTCCTCAATGGCTACTTTCACGTAATGGCTGTAAGGTTTGGGGAACACATTTTAATTAAAATTAGAATTTGTAAAATTGAAATCTGAGATTTCACATTTATTTTGAGATTCGTATCCTAACAATTCATTTCAAATCATAGTAGAATACCAGTAGTAATATTATTTAAATAAAATATTTTTCAGTACATTCTGCCAAATGCTAGTAACATAAATGTAAACGTAGTGGTCTTTGTCTTGTTCCATCTAAACTTGGGTAACATGAATCTGTATTAGTTAAAAAGAGTCTCAATGAATATACATTTAATTCAAGTACAGTGAACTGACACTCATAGCCATGTATGTATGCAATACAGCCATTGCTGCCATTGTGTATGTGTTAACTGCCATTGTGTATGTGTTAACATACATTTTTTAAGCATGTAGACGAATGAATACCAAATAAAAATTAAGAAGGAAAAACATAATCTCACGAAATGGACTGTTTAAATTGCAATGATTTGGTTTTAATATTCCTTTTTCGTCCGAATAAGGTCACTCATACAGTGTATAAAATATGTTTTGTTTAACCTTTGCTACCTAAAAGACGGCTCAGGTTTTATGCGTAAGTACGCACTCACAGAGAAAGCCTTTTACTCATATGTAATAAAAGTGAGCTGGGAAAATTAAGAAACAAAGTTTAAAAACTGAAAAGAGATCAAATTGTGTATTAAGAATGAAATAAATACTGGGGTAGAATGATATGAATTAAATAAAGCTAAGATTTTCCTGAGAAGAAATGAGAATACAAATAGTAAAAGTCTGAAAGGATTCGGATGACCTGACTAAATGAAAACCACTGGTTTAGTGGCCAAAATTCTCAAATTGGAACTCAGTTTCAGTGTATTACTAAAAATATTTCTTTTTCCGGATTTACTTCTCTTTGCATATTTATATTTTTTCAGTCCAAGAACATCCTAGAATTAATTTTAAACACCAGTTTGTGCCAAATTTGATAATTGAGTTATAATTATAACCTTTTCTTCGAACTGATATTTGGGAAAAATATGCTCATTAATTTCCCTTTCACTTTCCTAATAAAGATTCTAGCCCAACATATGTTTCTTTGTTTTTCTTGTTAGAGAAATTGGTAGTTCGTTTCAAACGTGAGATGAGAAATATTCGCCCAAAATTAACTCAAAGCATTTCACAACCTACGGTTTTAAACTTGGCAAATGAACAACAAATTTATATTTCGTATGTATAACACGACAATATAAGTAAGTATATACGAGTATAATACTTTCACTTATAATACTTACTTTTAAACTTGGCAAATGAACGACAAATTTATATGTCGTGTATATATAATACGGCAATATAAGTAAGTATATATGATATTTACCTTCGTATTCAAAAGAAGTGATGAAACCCGTTCGAAATGAAATGTTGTTAGTTAAATATAAAACGCTGATTTCAAAACATTTTGAAACACATACGTAAATATCAGTTTTATTTGCATAATTATCATTCAGTTAATTTCTGATTAAACTGTATATATATTTCAATATTATATAAAATGCTTAACTTCAAATGCTGAAACATTTAGCAGTATATAGTTTTTTAACTTATTTTTCCTCTTATATAATCTATACTTCATGATTAACGATGCACTTCAACCTCATAATCAATGCGTCGACGGTAAAAAATCTTTGGCCATCGAAAATCTTTTCGCATTTGATAACAAATGCTAAATATTAGAAATTGCGACAGAAAATATAGCTCTGTTATAAAAATGTGCAATAAATCTTTTTATTATACTTAGAAATCTCAAAGCAATGAATCGTTTTTGTAATGGCTTTCATGTGATGATTTAAATCATCTGTTTTTTTTTTTAGTATTCAAGTTCCTTTATCTCTTATTTTTAAAATCTTCCGTTAATATTCTTGATAAATAAATAATAAAACGGGATTTATCATTCATATAAAATTCTGTAATGTGCTTTATATATAATATGCAAATTTATTTATTCGGAGGAGAGGTTCCGAGGGGGAAAAAGTGTACAGTTCAGTGTTAGAACTTTCGAATTTTTTTATATTGTAAGCATGCTCTGAATCCTATCAGTTTTTTGTCGAAATAAGCTTGATTTTTGAACAATGCATTTTGAAGTTCTAAGTAATCAGAGGAAAAAATAAATATGCCGCTGCTGCATTGTGAACATTATTCTAGCCTATAAAAATATCCATCAAGCTTAAACAATAGATCTTACTTTCACGTAGCGGCCCTGACAAAAAGAGCAAAAAAATTATCGCAACAATAAATACATCATTTTCCCCAGGTATCTCTTATCTTTTAAAAGCCACTCTTTTGACTCCCGCCATATATAAGATCTCCCATTGTCGGCCTATCAAGTGAGGGTGCATTGTTAGAGCGTTGCCGCTCTGTTAAGCTGTTTAATGTGGCCTATGAAATGGCCACTCCAAGACGCTGGAGGGGGACTCT